TTTCTCTGTGGGGGCCTCTGGGATTACCAGTAATCACCATGTGTCTGCAGGTTCAACCCACCATTGCCTCACTGTTAGTCTGGGTTCTGGGAGAGAGCACTGCTTGGTATCACCCTCCTCTTCACTGAAGTCTCTCTCTTTGCTCTCCCCATGGACTTCAGTTCTCACTTTAGATCCTTCATGGTTGCAGGGGACCCACTTCCTTCCTTCTTCTCCTCCTCATGCCGTTACATTCCAGGATCAGGACACCACATCTCTGAGAGGCTCTTTCTCAGCTGCTCGCCATTCTGCCATTTTCCCAGTTGTTTGTAATTTTAATGAGTCACAAAATTAAGTGTTTTTTTTCCAGGTGCTAGTAGGGTCTGTCATGGATTCCTATCTAGTCACTACACCACATGTGGGTGCCCCCATCTCATTTGCGTTTATCTGGAGCAAGGGGAAGAACAGTGATATCAAAGGCACTCAACCAGCTGTGAGGAGCTGAGATTGAGCACAGCCCTTTGTGCAGGTCTAGGAAGAAGCCCTGCCCTCCCCAGCTACATGTGGTTCCCTAGCAGGCAAAGCCACAGGGAGATCTTGGGCTCTCTTCTGGATAATTCTGCCTGTTGTACCCAAACCCTAGAAAAGTTAAGTCTACATGGAGTAAAATGTTATTTTATCATTGCTAAGTGGCATTTATTCCCAATGTAAAAAGAAGGTATCATGTTAGAAAATCTTATATAACCAATGAAATTTCCATATTAAAAAAGGAAATCCCCATGATTTTGAGGGTGGGGGGCTTATGGAAAGAAGGTATTTCATATAATTCAGCATCTATCAGACAGATCTTGATTTTTTTTTTTGGTACAGGGATCAAACTCGGGTCCTTGCGCTTGCACAGCAGGTGGCGAAAACACTGAGCTAAATCCCTGGCCCTTGATTTTTTTTTTTTTTTTTTAAAGTTTTAGTGAACTAGGCCTATAAAAAGAGTTCACTAACATGGTAAGTAATCAGTCCTGGGCCTTCACCTATCAGTGAGATACCAGGTCTGTCTCCTTTTGCATCAGAAGGACACAAAGGCTCACAGTGAAACAACTGTGAGGAACAACAAATGGACACAATTTGTTTATTTTTCTTACATACCAAGAGCTCAGGAAGCTGTCTGTGGCTGAAACAACAGTTTAAAAATTTCATCGAGGGCCCAGGATCCCGTTGTTTTCCATTCTACTAGCTTTAGTGGGTAGCTTTTGTCCTTAGTTGTCTTATGGTTGCAAGATGGCTACTACACCTCTCAGCATTACATCCGCATCCTAGTCAAGAAAGAGAAGGAGGAAGGAACAGTTCTCCTATCAGGAAAGCAAGGCTCTCCCTAAAACTTCTAGCAGATTTCATGGGAGCCTCCTGGGTCAGAACTGGAACCCATGGCCACCTGAATGCAATGGAGTCTTAGAAAAGAAAAGGTTTGGGTTGGGGATTTAGCTCAGTGGCGCCATGCCTGCCTCACAAGTGCAAGGTCCTGAGTTTGATCCCCAGTACTGAAAAAAAAAGTTTTGTGGTAGACATGTTTTTTTTACCTCAAACAAAATCCACCACAAATGACTACTACCAACAACCCTGAGTATTGCTCTGGTAGTAGTAGCCAATGCTAATTAAAAAAAAAAAGAAATAAAGTTACTTATTTGAGAAGAGGCAATTTTTAAATTTCTGAACAATATAACCAACTACTTAGAAAGCTCAATAAACTGATAAACTATTGGAAACCTTTCAGAATAACTCAGTAAAGTTGCTGACATACAATAAAGATTAAGATTATATTGT